CTGAGAAGTGGAGGCAGAGGGGGAGGGGCTGAGTGGGTAGAAGCACACCCCCCCACGCACACCCCCCCACCCTGTGAGGCCCCTCTGAGAAGTGGAGGCAGAGGGGGAGGGGCTGAGTGGGTAGAAGCACACCCCCCCACGCGCACCCCCCCACCCTGTGAGGCCCCTCGAGAAGTGGAGGCAGAGGGAGGAGACAGGTGCACTCGGGAGGGTCAGGGGCTCGCTCAGGCCTGTCTCCCCCTCCCCCCTCACAGGAAGGCGTGTGTTTTCTCTTCAGGAATACATTGACGCCCACCCTGAGACTATCGTCCTGGACCCCCTTCCCGCCATCAGGACCCTGCTTGACCGCTCCAAGTCCTACGAGCTCATCCGGAAGATCGAGGCCTACATGAAAGGTGGGCCCGCGCGGTGGCCGGCTTCTGGGGGGCGAGGGAGGTGCCCCCAGCGGGGGCAGGAGGGGGCCTGGTCTGAGCCCCTGACACAGCAAGCGGTTGATTTCCCTGGGAAAGGGTCGGGCCTCTCTGCTCTGTGGCCAGCCCGGCCAGGCTGCCCCCGGGACAGCTTGTTTTGTTGTCTCGAGCCACGGAGGCGGCCAGTGTTTCCCTAACACGAGGCGGTGTGTGGAATTGCTGAGTGGCAGGCGGGCGAGTGGCGTTATGTAACCAGGCAGCGGAGACAAACAGAAATAAGGGCCTGCCATCAGCCGCTCGGAGATTGGGGACGTGCCGGCCTCTCGGGGTGCTGTTGTTTGTGCAGATGGGAGCCTCCCTTGGCCTCTGCTGCCAGCTGCAGCCTCTTGTCCCTGGGGACCCTCCCACCTCCTTGGCGGGCCGCGCCTCAGGCCTTCTGGGGTGATTATGTGAGCAGGGCTGGATGGGGGGATCCGTGCGGCCAGTGAGGGCCCACTTGTCTTGCCTGGTCCGGGCACCCCCTGCTCAGGGCTCGTTTGAGCTGCAGCACCTGGCTCTGCCCGTTCGGCGCCGCCTCAGGGGTCACCTCAGGCACAGCTCCTGCTCCCGCTGCAGGTGGCCTTGGGCCCTGACCTGGGCGGTGACTTGGCCCCTGGTGTGTTGTGTGCCGATGGCACCAGGGCTGGTTTGGCCCCGGGACCAGCAGAGCCTGTGCCAGGGACAAGAATGGGGATTCAGGAGCAGCACGCACCGGTGCGTGCTGTCAGCCTTCTCTTTACTCGCTTCCTGGCCACGCCATGAGGCGGGTACAGCCAGCGTGGGGTGCGTGGGGAACTCGGGTGTCTCATGCCGTCAGGGACCTTGCTGGTGGGCCGTCTCGGAAGTGAGCTGGTGAGTAAGGAAAGGCGGAGCCCTCTGAGGCAGGTCATTACCTGGCATCTGTTGTAGGGTGATGCCCCTCCCGGCCACAGGTGTGTGGGGGGGCAGAGACCAGCCCCCAGGGGGAAGTCAGACAGATGCACCGAGAAACCTCACACCTAGGTGTCACCGGCTAGGGGCCATACAGTGTGTGTGTGTGTGTGTTTGGGGGGGGGGGTGATAGTGGCAGTGGTGGGGTGTCCCCTCCAGATCCAGCAAAAACTTGCTGGCTGAGCCCTAAAGGCGGACTTAGTCCTGGCCAGCAGGGTCGTGTGCAAGGCCCTGGCCCAGGGGCCCTGGGTTTTGCTTATCTGCACTTGAGCTGGGTTGGTTGTCGTGAGGCAGCCAGGGATGGGGCTTCCTGGAGCCTTTTCCTGCCCACAGTGGGGCTGCTGATGCTGCAGAACCTCCACAGGGGCCGGGCCTCTGCTGACTCCCACCTCCCGCCTCTCTTTAGGTGGGGGGCCACCCCCTCTGGATGCCGAGAGCTTTCCCTGGGGAGCGCACCCCAGAGCCCCCCAGAGTCCCCCTATGCCTGCTGTTGCTGGAGGCAGCCCCCTTAGTACTCCGTCAATGGCCATAATTTCCCTCTCAGTTCTGCAGACAGCTTCAGCAGTCCCAGCCACAGTGCTTTTGTAGTGGAGAAGGGGCTTGGGGAAACGTCTTCCTTGGTCTCCACCCCCCACCAGGGTGGGCCCCTCTCAGTAGGCAGCCTGGTGGCTGCAGGGAAGCCAGGCCCGAGGGGAGGCTGCTGACCGGAGACACCAAGAACCCAGCCCGCGGCAGGGTGGCCGGTGGGCACGAGGAGGGTGTCCAGGAATACCGAGTGGGTGGTGCCCTTGGGGCTGGGGGCCATGGGCTCTCATTGTCTCAGGGCGTCAGCTGCGGGGTGCCGGCCTTCCCGTCCGAAGCCCTGGGCAGCCTTGGCCTTCCACATCCTCAGTTGACGTCCTCAGAGTTTATCGTCTTCTAATCCAGAGCCAGTGGGAGGAGCTCCTCGGATTTGCTTAGTTCTAAACTTGTAGCAACAACAGAGATCTAAAATAGCAGCGGCTTAAACAAGCTGAGCTTCGTTCTGTCTCCGGTGAAATCCAGAGCCGGGCCACCTGGCGCTGGCGTGCGAGACCCCGGCTCTTCCGACTCCCCATATTTCTCTATCCTGTGACCCTTCTAGTGCCGGGTGGAGGCCAGAGCTCATCCACGCTCTAAACATTGGAAGGGTCGGGGGGCTAAGTAAAAGGCCCCCAAGGGAAGCAGCCCTGGTATCTTTGAGGAAAGATCCTTAAGGAAATATCTTTAAGGAAGCTTCCATGTGATGATGTGATCTCAAGCAGCCGGGGCCCAGTCACATCCCGGCTGCAAGGGGGTCAGAATGTGTCTCTCTTCTGGGCTGCCATGTGGCCTGCCAACATTTGGGGAGGTTTTTGATCATGGCAGGATGGAGAGAATGAATTTGGGGGGACAACTGGTTGCCTGCCCCCAGCCCTTCTGAGAAACGTGTTTCTGTCTGGGGAATCTGTGGGTGAAAGGCATTTAGAAACCCTTAGGCAGGCCAGAGGTGTGGCCCCAGCTGTGACCTAAGCAGTGAGCAGCCCACGCCCCCCCACCCCCGGGACGCTGGCTTCTGGGTGAGGCGGCACCCAGAAGCATGCCAGGGAGTTGGAGATGGAGCCCCACGACCTAGGCCAGCCGTGCACCCCCGGCCGACTGAGGCTTCCGAACTGGCTGAAGCTTGTGTGAGGGGGCGGGGCTGTGATTGGGCGATGTGGCCCGGGGCAACCCTGTGAAGGGGCCTGGACAGGGGAAAGGGGCCCGAGACCCCCTTCGGAGTCAGTGACGCGCGGTCGAGGGGCCTCCTGGAACCTTGCACCAGGTGCTCTGGAGGGAACAGATGGCCATCCGTGGCCACCTCCTCGGGGCGGGGCCGTTCTGCCTGTGCTGTTAGGGGAACTTGATCTGCACTCATCTTGGGGGCTGTTGGCAGCTGTGTTGAAATGGAATCTTCTAGACCCCACTTTCCTCAGAGGCTTTCCGTAGAATCCCTGCAGAACATCCACCTACGGGGGTGGGCTCAGTTAGGGGCTTGCCCGCAGAGACTGCAGAGGGCTGGGGTGGGTGAGGGCGCCCCTCGGCCCCTGCCTGCTGGCTGCTCAGCTCACTGTGTCTCCCCCATGGCCCCCCCAGGCCCACGGTGTCAGGGCCACGGACAGGCCGGTGCCTGAAGCACTTTATTTGTACGTGTTGGCTGATTCAATCCTCACGATGACCCATGGGAAAGCCTCTGCCTTACCTCCTGTGGCAGCAGGGACACAGGAGTCCCCCAACTTAAGTCGCCAAGGCCACACCACACAGCTCCTGGTTGCAGAGCTGGATTTGAACCGACGCAGTCAGGCCCTGCTCTTAGCTGGGGGCCCCCAGGGTCTGCTCCAGCTCCTGTAAGTGTTGCCTCCTCCACCCCCACTGCCCAGAGCCTGGCCTAGGCTGGACAGATAGATGGTGGGGTGGGGTGGGCACACTCCTGGCGCCCTCTGGTGTCCACCCAGACAGCAGCTGCGCTCAGATGGTGGCGAGGCCGCCCTGGGCAGTTACTGAGTGAGGGCCTGGCCCTCCTTTCCGAGGGCCACAGCATGCTGTAGCAGAAAAGCAGGGGGCTTTGATGCTGACCAACCTGGGCGAGTCTCAGCCCCGGTGGCCTCCCGTCCCCAGCCCTCTGAGTCCTTTGCTCGTCTGTACCAGGGGTGCCATCACCCTACCGGGGAAGTGTGGTCCCATTTGCTGCAGTGAGTATGGTCCAAGTTGGTGGTCAGCCAGCGTCAGATCATCCCCCCTGGTCCCACCAGGCTCGTGGCTTTCGGGGGCGGGGGCAGTGGCACAAATCAGTGGTGGGAAGCGGCCTGGCATCCGGGAGGACAGCAGGGCCCAGGTGAAAGCGTCTTGAGCTCTTGATGCCCTCCCGGTCCCCAACAACTCCGGGTGGTTGTAGGACTGACCTAGGGTCACTCAGGGTTGCCAGCGCCCTGTCCTGCGCCTCTTCCAAGGCCCTGCCCCTGCAGCGCCGTCAGAAGCAGAGCCAGAGAGGGTGGGATTGCCCGGACTCGGCCTCTGCTCACACCGAACCGTGTGCAGTTAGGCAGGTGAGTGAATGGCCTGAGCCTCGGTTTGCCCACCTGTGAACTGGGGGTAGTGACAGTGGCCCCCTCCACCCAGGGGTGTTGCAAGGGTTCAGTATGACTGTGCATTTAGGGGAAGCTGCCCAGTCCATGTCCCCATCCTTGGTGACACTGTCTTGGGAGTCAGACAGGACGCAGTGAGTCCTGGGTCCCTGAACTTCTGTGTAGCACCCTTGACTGTGCACCTCTGTGACCCCCAGGACACACCCCCTCCGCCGTCCTTCTGGGGCGTCAGCCTCACATTTGTAAATGACAGTTTGGGTCTATTTCCCCAAGCAAGGAGTTTTCGGGGTGACCATCCTGTGGCACCGTGGATTTTGTCTTGTCTTTATTGGCTTCTTGGGAGTGTCAGTGTTTCCGGTTTATGGTAAAGTGCATGCTCTGTAGTGTTACCGTACTTTTCAAGTTATTTTAGACTCAGCAGGAAAAAGTTGCCAAAAAACTGCACCCACCTCCCATGACCCGGCCGCGCGGCTGCCTCTGGCGGAATCTAACGTGACCACGAGGTTGTTCTCCAAACGGGGAAATTCCCAGCAGCCGCGGGACTGTAATTAATGGGCCTGCTGTCCCAGGCACGGCTACCGGTCTTCTGGCCAGGACCCAGCCTGTGGTCTCCTCCCTCCCGACCGGGACGCGGGTCGTTTGTCTTCTGTGCCCGTGACCCTGCAGAAGAGCCCTGGCGGGTTGTGTCCACCCACAGCTTGGGTCCCTCATGTCCTCTGCGAGTAGGTTGAGGGACAGCGTGTGGCGGCAGTGACGCACCGGCCAGGCCTTCGGGGGGGTGATGCGGCCGCCTCCCCTACCTGGTTAACTGATGGCTGGGCAGAGTGGGGTCCCTGACGTCCCTCCCCTGTGGGTTTCAGTTTTTCACTTTGTGGTTGGTGATTACAAGGAGAC